CAGGCTCAATAGTTATTCCTTACTAGAATTAAATTAGTTGTTTCAGTTAAGGTTTCAGCTTGTAACTTGTTTATCTTCTGACATATCCTGGCAGAATAAGGTGGCTTGCATCGAGAGACATCATCATGGTGTTCCAAAGAATTCCAAGAATTCTTAGTCATATTAATATATAAAAGCATCGTATAATTATTGGTAATGCAAATAATTTGCATAATGTTTTCATCAATACATTGCAAGTTTACATATGCATTACATTCTAATTCAAACTAATGTGACCCAAACATCTCTTTATCACCTTTTCAAATAATATGCTACTGAAAGCTTTCTGGATAGTTTTTATACATCAGGATACCTGCTATTCAAATCACAGCTATCCAGGAAACTTTTAGGTTCAAAAAGTCCGTGGTTATATTTCTACAAAGTAATAACAAAAAAAAAAGGTTGAAACCCACCAACACTCAACAATAATATGCAAGAAAAATCTAACTCACTGAAGTCAAGACTCACTGAATCAGACTCAGTGAAGCAAAGACTCCATGTGGTGGATGGGAAGGAGAGACTATGAATCTAAATTAACAGAGCAAGATTTATATAAAACTATGTGTATATATAGGCTTATGAAATAATAACGAGTATCACCTTAGCTTAATTTCCTTACTGATGTAATGTATGATGAGTGTGCATGTATTGTTCAAGAAAGTTTCCAAATAGAGAACAAATTATTTATAAACATCAGTGGAGGTATACTGAATAAAACTTTCATTTTTCCCAATGTGCAAACCTTTCTCTACAAGCATTACTTTCAGAACAAAAACTGGAAAGGTTGCCATAAGAAGCATTAATAACTCTTTTTTTAATATTCTATAAAAATAGAAATGTTTCCTTTTCATGATCAGTCTATGTGCATATTAAAACATCTTCTAGTAGTTATTAGTCACATTTTTTCCCATTTGTGAACTGAGTATATTGAATTTAATTTTTTTCTCTTCTTGCAGAAATTATTTTCAATGAGCTGTGGACTAAATTGCGTATTTAAATTGTGCTGTAGAATACGTATTTTCTAGTCTTAATATGGAAACTATTTTGGAAATAATTTCAGTATCTCAATGCATGAGACTTTAATAATTCAATAAAATTTGAGATAATACTTGAGGATTGCTCAAGAACAATTAAAATCTATTACTATATTTGTTTTTCCTGCCCACATCTCAAGAATCTTAGAACCTCTGTTCCTTTCTTTATGTGTTCTAAATGGCTGAACAACTACTGTGTTTGTATTAGCAAATACAGTTTCTGTAGCCAGTATGTACCAAATGCTATTCTAACCTCCTCCTGAGCAGAGCTGATAACTAATACTGTGTGTTATCAAGTTATAACTAATTTAAAAGTGGATGAGTTCTAGTTTAGTTGAGGTTGTAGGGAACTCTTTTGGAAGAGTTATTAACAAGAATTAATTGAGAACATGTTTTGTATACTGTAGAGATATATTATTCTCCTAAGGGGATGGAGAATTACTGTCACAGATTAAGATTTCAAGAAATTGAGAAGATGCTGTTTGTCCCCAGATGGTGTGTAGCTTATGATGTTGCTTCAGTCTTTGATGGAAAAATAAGTCTGTAAAAGCTAGTTGTTGGTTTTTTTTTTCCTTTTGATCTCTGTCTTTGTAAAGTTCTTTTATCTTTCACACCGTTACTGCAAAATTTTGAAGTACTAGCCTAGTCTATATACATATTTGTCTTTCAAGTAATACATTTTCTCTGAAGGAGACTTCCCTGAGCTTTGAGAATCTCTTATTGCTGTTTTTCTCATCCCTTATTCTATTGTGAGACATCTCATTCTTCTGGCAGAAAACAAGACGTAATGCTTTTAAGAAGAGCCAGATAGGCAGTCTTGCCTTTCTCCCTTCCTCTGCAGCTGATGTTAAGCCTGTATCTGTGCTCTCAAGCTGGGATCCCCGGGTGCATTTTTGTTATCCTGGCTGCTTAGGCTCTCATCCTGCATGTGGGTGTCTGTCAATGCACCTCTGTGTTTATATGAAGCTCCTTAATGCCATCGTTTGTGCATTGTCACTTACAGGGTTAGACTGTAGCAGTGTAGCTTTCCTGTAGCATTCCTAACAAGGAATGAAGATAAATATTTGAGATACTTGATACGTGACTGTCAATGCTTCAAGTTGGATGAGGTTGAATTTCCTTTTATATTCCAGGCGAATACTTCACAGAGATTTGAAAGCCAAGAATATATTTTTGAAAAATAATCTTCTTAAAATTGGTGAGATTTCCATACTTTTAAAAGATGTATTTTAGTATGATAGAACAGTCCAGCAGACATTTTGTTAATAAGGAGATTTAAATAAAGTCATGTCTGATATAGCATTTTGATTTGTGATCAAGCATTTATTTGACAGTCAGACACAGGAATAGGGGCCCGGAGAAGCAATGAAATCTCTAGCCTTGAGGGTGCTCCAAGCTTGATTGGACCTGGACCTGAGCAGCCTCATGTAACTTTGAAGTTGGCCTTGCTTTGAGCCAGGGGTTTGAATCAGATGACCTTGTAAGGCATCTTCAAACCGACATTGTTCTATAGTTCTATGATTTTCTAGTGTTTTTATTTTGAAGAATTACAGAAAATTGTTTTTTCCACATTTTAAAATTCTGGCAGGTTTTTTTGATGTACAGTCATTGTATCGTGTCTAACAATAAATGCAAAGAGTTTGTATGAATAACTACAGATTTATGGAATTTATATGAATATATTATTGTTTCTGCTGTTACTTTTAGGGGACTTTGGAGTTTCTTGTCTTTTGATGGGTTCATGTGATCTGGCAACTACATTTACTGGGACACCATACTACATGAGTCCAGAGGCACTGAAGCACCAGGGATATAACACAAAATCTGACATTTGGTGAGTAGTCAGCATGCTATTTCAGTTGGGCTAGGCATTTATTTTCTTGGTCAGCATTTGACTTTATTTAGGAACTACTTTTTTTTTAAAAATGGCTCCCTCAGTAGAGTGCTCACACTTCTCCACTAAAATTATTCCGGGACATTTGTGTCATATGTTGCAATTGGAAGGTTTGCTCTTTGTCTTAAGAAGCAGGTAGTTTAATATTATTCTGGGTTATCTGGGACTTTAAAGTAGAGTAAGATTCAGGTCCAGTCTCTGCCATGACACAGGATGATTGTAGACAAAGTTCAAGTTTTGCTAGGAAGTGGGAAAATCTTCTTCTTTCTCATATTGAGAAAGATGAATGGAAAGAAGCAACTTTCTGTGAAACTTCCAAGTGGATGAGGAAAGAGCCTGGCTGAGAGGGAAGCAGAAGGACCTCCTTAGGAACTGAATTGAAAAGCATTGGCAAATGCAAAAGGAAGAAGGTACTTGGAAGGGGAGCTGAAAATGATGATAACTGGAGTGTTATGACAGAAGTAAAAAGGCACTCTGTTTTATAAAAGGCTCAAAGGTAGAAAGAAAAATGTGAGTTCTACACTTGGCACAAATTCTTGAGATCAAGAGTTCTGAGGTGATGATTAAAGAATCAACTTGAGAACCTGAGATCTGTTGAAAGACTTTAAGAAACCTGTACATGTCCAGGTATTCCTACAAGCTAAGATGAAGAATGATTTTTGGAATGAGGAAAATATCTGCCTTGTTTATATGTGTGTGTCCTAAAACATCTCGTGTTTTAAGATGATGGTTAAAACTATTGTGTTTTTTAAATTCTGTTATAGTATTTTTTTATAAAATGTGCTCTGTTTCTTCTGTTAAAAGGTGTTTGTTTCTCTAGGTATGCTAATCTGAAGGTTCCTTTTTTTATGAATATTTCAGATCAGGAAATTTCCTTCGTAAAACATTTGACCACTGGAATGTAGTTTGTTTACTTGATAATTTACTTTAGCTTCTGCTCAATTCTGCCTTTTCAAAATATATTTGTGACTGCAAGATATAATTCTAAAAGTTGAGAACAGTCATCTGTACTTTCAACTCGTAGCAACCACTTTTTACAGTTAGCATGTTCAATCCAGTCAACGGATGTGTCAGGAATCTCATCTCATGGTCTGTGTAGCTGAACTGAAATGGATTTGATGTCAGATTCTCGTTCATCTGTATCAAAACAAATATCAGTTAATACATGTAGTCAATAAAAATATATTGAGAGGAGATTTCAAAAGGTGTCAAAACAAGTAAACAGACAGGAAAATCTGCCTTTTGTGCTCTATACTGTAAATAATAATTTCTTTTGTTGCAGTTGAAATGGAATGTAAAATATATATTTGTTCTATTCATTGTTACAGGTGTCAATCCATATAAGTCATTGAAATTGTATAGAGTAAATGAAAGCAGAATTTTGTCCAGTATATTTATAGATGATGTGTTGATCACCCTTTCAAAATTTAAAAAATAGCAGAAATGTCCCTGCCCCCCCTGCAACAAGTCACTAGCTATTAGCTTTCTGCTATACCTTATGCATTTTGTAATCTTTCCAGAGCAGTACCCAGAGCACTGAGGGTGGAACTGCCTTCAATAGGAGCTTCTTGGCCCTCACTGTAGGGACGCTAAGGAGGAGGTGTGCCCTGACTCACTAGACCCCCAGCCCACAAAGAACTTCTCTCTCTGAGCCAAGAAATTCTCTTTTGATCAGGACTTGCCAACTACTATGACTCATACATTTGATTGATACATTGGTCATTTCTTCTCTTCATTTAATATTTTAATAATGATTCTATTTGAGTTTGGTTTTTGCATTTGCCCCATTTAACGGGGGCTGAGACATGAGAGATCCCTGAGCACCTGGGGGAACCCAACCTGGAGGCTCCAGGTGAGGTGAAATCCTTGTGCTGCTTTGCAGGAAGTTCAGTTGCTCATCAAGAAGTTGCCCAAGCCTTTTATGAGTACCTGAAGTGACATTCTCTCTTCAGACTTGTCCTTCTGATCTCTAGCAGGACTCAAAATATTGCACACAAAAATTCAGAATTACAAGTATGCCCATATTAAATGTAAGAAAATGTAAAATGTCTTCTACAAAAGGCAGTTATTGCTGTCTCGCTACGTTATCATGGTCCTCTCAGTGTTCAGTCTAGTTAATCATTGTTCATTGTTCAGTCTAGCTAACCATTGTTCATTGGAAAGACCTGAATTTACGCTGCCTTAATGATGTGCTCTAAAGAGACATTGTGCTTTTCAGGTTCACTGAAATGTTGTGCAACTGGCTCGTCAACACTGGCTTGAATATTCACAGTGCAGCAACTGGTACAAGAAGTATTGTCCTTTGTAACCCAAGGTCAATAAATGGGAAAAAGCCTCATGTTTTACAGTTTTTACGTACAGAAGAAGTTCTGCAGTTAGGCTCAGAGAAGCTGTGGCGTTTATGTTTGTCCTCAGTTAAAATTTCAGGGTTGGAGTTCTTTGCTATTCCATGTTTTATGCCAAATCTTAATTCACAGGAGGCAAATTAAAATTGCCATCCATGTTGTCCTTACCATCCCTGAGCCTGGACTGGCCAGGCAGTAAGTGAAAGCCTTTGCAGATGACACAGTCTGGGGTTTCCTCCTTTCCAGGTGAGGAGCCTTCTTGGGGAGCTGGTCTCAGTTCAAGAGCTCCCCAACCCCTCTGCCCGCTGGTGCTTCCCCCCTAACGAGTCACTGCACGGCTGGCCGAC